GGGTGGCATAAGCATTCAACCACACATACTTAGTTGAAATAATTTGGGGGAAGAAAAGGTGAGTGTTATATATATGTCATTATGCTACTCGGGACCCTATAACTGTACTCCATTTCTCAGTTATGGTTTTGAGGCATGGGCTTAAGGCATACCTTTCAGAGCACTTGGAATTTGGTTTCAATAGTTTCTTGAACAATCTTCTAAAAAATACAATTCCATTCTCCACTTTGGAAATTTAAATAAATAATTTATACTCTTTGGCTTAAGTCATCCTTGAAAATATTTACAAAATATGTACTACCAGCCATTAAAGTTTTATGACGATAATCTCACTAGTGCTAATTTGTTAACTGGGAAGCTATTATTAGCTAAGCTTCCCCAAAGGCAGCAGAGTAGATGCACCATTATCATTATATATACCATGTCTTCTAAATTGGAACATATTTGACATCGCAGGGCAAGCACACATCTGCCTCTAGCTACTCTGGTTCCTGGGAAGGCCAAGTGAAAGAGAAACTCTTTTGAAGCTAACAATCTTTTTTTAAAAAAATATATCTTTATTGATTTCAGAGAGAGGAAAGGAGAGGGAGAGAGAGAGACAGAAACGTCAATGATGAGAAAGTCATTGATAGAGCCTGCAACCTGGGCATGTGCCCTGACCGGGAATCGAACCTCCATCGCCTGGATCCTAAGCCTATGCTTAACCGCTGAGCCACGCCTGGCCAGGCTGAAGCTAACAATCTCAACAGAAGTCAACTTAACTTAAATTTTAAGATGGTTATCACTTAAAAATAAATTAAAAACAAAAGTCAGCCTAGCCCAGCCAGCATGGCTCAGTGGTTGAGCATGACCTATGAACCAGGTGGTCATGGTTCAATCCCCAGTCAGGGTACATGCACGGGTTTCAGGCTCCATCCCCTGTAGGGGATGTGCAGGAGGTATCTGACCAATGACTCTCATCATTGATGTGTCTATTTCTCTCTGACCTCTCTCTTCCTCTCTGAAATCAATATATATATATATATATCTATATATATACACATACACACACATATATGTATATATATATGTATATATATATTTAAATATATATAGATTTAAAAGTCAACTTAACTTAAATTTTAAGGAGGGTATCATTTAAAAATAAATAAAAAACAAGGCTTGTATCTCTGAACACAATCAAAGGGCAGTGTAAAATTGTGTTTGTGCGTGTGCTTGCATGTGTGTATATGGTTTTGACGTTACTAAAAATTACCACTTTGGGGGAAAAAACATAGAAATTGAAGCAGTTGAAAATTAACCTTTCATAACATTTGTGGGCCCTGGGGGCTGCTGTCAGTGACTCCTCTCTCCCACCCCTTCCTGGGTCTTCAATAGGAGCCACTCAGATGAGCCCTCATGAATTCCTGTGATTGAGGAGGAGGCCAGAAGAGAGACCTTTATTCTCCACAAAATTGGGCCATTTCTCCAAAGAAACAATTATTTGGCATCTTAGTAATATCCTTGTAGTCAGTATCATGTGAGATCCTTCCAACATCAGTAGAACAATCATTGGGTCATCCAGTGTTGCTAGGAAAATTACAGTGATTAATTTATCCATCATGTACCTAAATTATACCAACGAAACACATGTTAACATTTCCTTCCGGTGAAAGCCAATGGGAGATGCTGAGAAACTGTGTTAATGTACATGCTATGTCGGGTATTGCTAGAAACACAATTAGGTAGTTACAGATGTTTACAGGTTAAATGATAGGGTGAAATAGCAGCACTGTGTCCTGGCTATTATAGTTCGCTGATGGGTATGTGGGGGGCTTAGTATTAGCCTCTACTGTTGCAAATGTCAATGAAAATCTGAAAATATTTCCTAAATCTAGTAACAGTAAAAAATAGTTACTGAGATTTCTGCTTGCTATAGAGATCTTACTGGTTAGGCCTCCCCTGACTCCCCTGGATGAAATACAACTTGCTCTTATCACTTTGACCCTTACTCTCATGGTTTTATTTCTTAGCCCATCCTGTGGTGTGCATGCATGTACACACCTCTCATTTGGCACCTTACTTCCTCACTAGAAGACAGCCTCTAGGAAAGGAGGAACTGTCAGTTTTGTGAGTCACTGTTACATAGCGAGCCAAGATCAAAAATAGGAGTTCAATAAATCTATGTTGCACAAATGAGTAAAATGAATGGATGACTAGTAAATGCTGGACTACCTTTTTATTCTTTTATTTTGTTTTAGTTGCAGAATTAAGAAAAATCTTTGAACCAAAGAGGACAGACTTTTTAGAAATGAAAAGGTAAGTTATATATTGTATGTAATTTGCAATAGAAGAGCTTGGCAAAACGGCTTTCAGTTCTCCCTTAGAATTGATTTCTATTGCTTACTTTTTGGCGTCTTGCACAGAAAAGAAAGAATCGCCAGGCGCTTAGAAGGAATTGAAACGGACACCCAGCCCATCCTCTTGCAGAGTTGCACAGGGCTAGTGACTCACCGGCTGTTGGAGGAAGACACACCCAGATACATGCGAGCCACAGACCCGGCCAGCCCCCACATCGGTGAGCATCCCTGGCGGCCTTCATCAGGCAGGCTGCTTGAGCATAGCCCTTTTATCTAAAGGTATTGGAAATGGAGATATTCCACAAAAGTGAATTGTGTAGATGTAGTTATTTATTATTACACACATTTGTTAAAAGCTTTAGCAACACATTTATGTCAGCTCTGTCCTCCTCACAGGAGTGGTCTTCCGTATCGCAACAGTGGCAGGCACACTGTAAGGTAATTGATGACTAGCCATTTCTCTCCCTGACCTGGGACCCCTCAAGAGAAAGGACTGTGTCTCTCTCTTCGCACTCTCCGGGCCCTGGCACAGGAGCTGCCTGCTGTCAGATGTCCTCAGTAAAATTTGTTTGGTAAATGACTAAATGAGATGTATTTAAGCAGAATGCCCATGTAACTAGCACAAGGCACAGCTGCTCTTAGGAAGGAATGTTAGGTCAAAGCTGGACCTTGAATAATTAGGGTTCTCACTCTGTGTTTGTATAACAAACATTCTATTTAAATTATTTTAATATATGTAATTTTACATGTATTGCATATATATTTCATATTGACCAGTATGTCAGACATGACTTAGCTTTTCCTTAATGACTCACTCATTGCTGGGAGCATCAGATAGTCATCTTGACCTTGGGAGAGGGTGACACATTCAAGGCTATTCTTTCCACCCCCATCCCTAGTTCTGCAGCTCCGTGATGCTGCTTTATGTAGCCAGTATTTTCTAGTTTTTCCCTCAGAAAGGGCTGTTGATCTCCTTGCATGTTGTTAATGGTTTGCTTATCTCTACAGCTTCTGATCTTTTATGACAAGAAAACTAGAGAACTAAGATTTTTAAAACTTACATACATGAACAATCAAAAATAGACAGAGTACTAAGTTTGTAGCCAGAAATAAACCCTCGTGTATATAAAATGTTAATTTATGTATTATATAATCACTTAAGTATCACTCAATGAGAAAAGAGTTATTTAATAAAATGGTCTTGGAAAAATGGGTTGTTGTGGAGTGGGAGAAGAAACATATTTCTCTTCCACTTCACACTGAATACAAAAGTAAGTTTCAATTAATTACATGATTAATTTTAATAAAATTAAAAACATGAAAATATAGGTGAATACATAATTCAAGTTGAATTGAAAAGAACTTTCACAACACAGAAATAGCTGTTGAAATCATAAATGACCGGGTCAATTGACTTAACTACATAATAATTAACATCTGTACTCCAAAGAAAATCTTATAGGTAGACTTCGCAAGACAATTAAGCAAATTCCAAAATATTTATAAGATAAAGACTCATATTTCTCCTATAAACATTTATACAACCCAATAAAAATGACACTATGAATTAATAGAATATAGAGCAATAAGCTTGACCAAATATTTCAGAGAAGAGAAAGATAATATAAATGGCTAGTAAATAATAGAAAAATTCACTTATTCTCTTTTTCTAGTAATCAGAAGAAATTTTTAAAATTAGCACTCAATATTTACAAGAGGAGAGCATATAGTGCAGATTTAAGTGCAAATTAATGCAGATTTTGTAGAAATTAATTTGACAGGCTAGCATATGTCTTAAAGTGATGTGCCTCCTGATAAAGCAATTTCACAAGTCTGTTGTGATAGTAATCAGGAAACTCAAACTGATTAAAAGTTAGAAACAACTTAAATACCCAGTCATAGGGAAAGGGTTAAATTAATGACGGTTTCCTGTTGGACAGAATATTACGAAGCCTTAAAAGAATGATGTCTTCAAAATAAGATTTCCAAATACAGGAAAATGTTTTATATAGAACATGAATGTTATATAAAGCAAATTATTTTATATAGAAAAAATAAATCAATGGTATAAAAGGCTAGAAGGACTATATAGAAAATTTGGTAAATTATTAATTTATTTATTATTGATTATTATAAATTAACTATTATGGGTGGTTTGGGTTTTGACCTTCCTATGTTTTCATGGTAGACATTTTCTATATCAAGCTTGTGTGCTATAATTGGAAAAATCCACTTCTGTTTTAAAAAACACACACAACACCAACCTGGTGCATATTGGCATGGGCCATTTATTGTTACAGTTACTCTCAGATCCTATGAAACCACAATTCCTCACTTGTCAGATTACAGCAGTTCAAATATCTGTAATTTTTTTCTAGAGGGCTTTGAACTCATCCTCTGGCCTCACACATGAAATATTAAACTCGAAAACAAAAGCAGTAAATCAGTAAGGGAAAATAAGCTCTGGGCAAGGACTGAAGAGTGCTCAGGAGTGAGGGACTGAGCTTTAGTTCAACCCATGCTTTACATGGCTTACGGAGCCCATAAAACATTCCCAGCCTTTGTGTAGTTCACTGCAGATCTCAAACCTCCCGCATCTCAGGTAAACCATTTAGCTGACTAGTCCTTCACAGCCTGCGCAGTCAAGTGTGCATTATATACAGAGCACAGAGTATAGTAAATATGTCTTTACTTAAATCTATATTTATTATCCATGTGATCTTCTTATAGGCCGATCAAATGAAGAGGAAGAAACTGCTGATTCTTCTTTAGAAAAACAAACTCGACCTAAACACTGTACAGAAACTTCAGGTGTCCATGGTGACTCATCCTATAGTTCAGGTATGGACACCCAGGGTCTTGAATCCAAAGCTGAGAGGATCGCAAGGTATAAAGCAGAGAGGAGACGGCAACTGGCAGAAAAGTATGGACTAACTCTGGATTCTGAAGCAGACTCTGAACCTTTATCTCGATTTACGAAGTCCAGGAGGGAGCCAGATGCTGTTGAGAAAAGGGGAGGAAAAAGTGACAGGTCGGCTGAGTCAAGCAAAGATTTCAGTTCTCTGTACTCCAGAACTGAGATGTCAGGGCTCAGGACCTGCGTGGCTGAATCCCAGGACTATGCCCTCCACGCCAGGGATGGTGTTTCCAACACGGAGGTGCTGCTCAACATGGAAAACCAAAGACGAGGTCAAGAGCCAAGTGCCATTGGGCAGCAGGTCCGAGACCTGCCCCCCACAGTTGAGAGTTCCTCATCCTTCCCATTTTCCGGGCAAGACTGCTCCTTCAGTGAAGTGCCAAGGTCCCCAAAGCAAATGCACAGCGTGCCCCTCTCCTCAGCTGGGCAGCCAGCTTCCCCAAGCCACTCTGGTGACCCACCACTTCCTGCTGAGGCTCGATCCAGGTAAGCATTCAGCCTGCACTGACCACTGTTAACGTGGAAGTGCCAATGTCTTCTCTGCCTCAAATATCTTAGAGTCTGGCTATTCTTGGTGTTCTGTGGAATCTGGGCTTACTGCACAAATAATATGATATATGAGTTTTTAATTCCACAATTGTTTGGCTATTTTTTAAAAAAATAAACTGAACAGGTGCCATGGGGACACTTTCATGGATGCCTTGTTTTAGGGCCCTTCTTTTTACTATTTCTAACCTACCTTTTCACAATTGTCTTTTTTTTAATTTTTCTGTAATCATACCCAAGACTTTTGGTGATAGCTTTTGTTGTCATTTAAAGTCCCAAAGCAGAAGGACCACCAACAGCCAGTGGAAGGGTCTCAGTTTAGGGTATGCGGTATGACCGCAATATATACTAACTATAACTGTAACAAGTAGTCATGTGAGTATATCAATACACTAAGAAAACTGCTGCTTATAAGAATGCCTTATCAAAAAGATCAGCCATTAAGAGAAATCACTGTGTAATAAGATCAACCAAAGACAAAAACAGCTCTCATTTGGAAAAATCAGAAAAGGCATAAAATCAGAAAGTCAAATACCAGAAGAGAATATATGTTTTTGTCAAAATTAAATATTTAGATTTAAATTTAAAAAGTATGGTGACCATATTTAAAATGTAATTTACATAAACATCCTACTTTAAGGTTTGGGATAATTGTCTAGGTCAACTAGGTCTAAGTCAACACATAAGTGTATTTTTTAGCTCAAGCAAACATTAGCTTCACAGGTAAATTGAGGAGGGATGAGAGCCTAAGGTCAAACAAATTTATTCTGAATTAAAAAAAAAAATGTTGAAAAATATTTCTGTTTATTTCACATTGGGATGGAACAGTAAATGTGATCATTTTTAAGTAGTGGTAATACATCTAGAACAGATCATTTTGATTTTTGAAGTTTATTGAGCCGAAGATCTGTCTTATTCACTTGATCATCCACACTAAAATATTTAGAGATATCAGCTTCTCAGATAATTAAATACTATAGATCCTGAGGTTGTATTTTGAGGACGTTTGTGCAGCCTTTGGACTTTACTTGATATTTTAGGGACTGTGACCTGTTGTCTTATGTTTTGAAAAGAAAGCCTGGTGTTTGGGAAATTTGCATTTCATAGTAAAAACAATGTTCTTGGCTTAATCTCTATCAAAGAAAATTCTTCATGTGCTCTTTGAGCGAGACAAAGTTACCTAACATTCCAATTTAGAAAGAAAGAGATTTACAATTACCTGGGTTAAAAAATAACGAGGAATCTAATTTCTGGTTGCCATGTTATGAAAGCTGTTTAAGCTGTTACCATAGTGTCTAGGTTAGTCATCTGGATCACATATAATAGATACACAGTGATATTTTGAATCGTTATAATAATAAATAAAACTTGGTTGAGTATTTCAGGTAAAAAGATAGGATACTTAATAGTTTTATGTGAGTTAAAATCTTAATATTCAAAATATATAAATAAGTTAAAATCGTGAGTGATTTCTTTCTAGATTATTTGAAAAGTAATGTTACCTGGAAGTTTTGTAAGCCTAGTCTTAGCCTCACATTGCCTTCCCATGAAGAAAAAATTAAGAAATTGTAAAGGAGTTGTTGAGGAGGCACATGTTTTATTTTCTTAAACCATACAAGGCATACAATTCTATGTTTATAGGCAAAGAAACAAATCATTTCATTTATAGACAGGAAATATCGGAGCTATCTTTACATTTGAAATAATGGAAAATAATGTGTGACAAGTATGACATTAAAATAAAAATAATTAAGATTTATTTTGTAATGATTCCAGTCGTTCATCTTGTAAAGATGGACTTCAAAAGGATTAGCATTCTGCTAGATGTCCGCTCTCCAGTGCCAGGTAATTCAGGTGTCAGAAAGTCACTGTTGTCTGATTTCCATTTGTGGGAAAGATAAAAATACTTTGTGAACTAAAACACTAAACAAAGAAACTTTGGTTACCCAATAACCGTGAGTGAAAATAAGTTGTCATCCAATATGGAAATAGGTAACAGAAAAGTTTAAGAAGATTAAGGAATGACAAAAAGTGTCTACAAATAACAAAACAATTGAATAGCACATTTCATCATGGGTTTGCTCTATCATTGAAATAGAATGTTTTTCTCACTGCTATACTGTACTTATCACCTATCTCAGTAGTCAAGATTTTTGGCTATTAATCTCTGAATTAACTAATTTCCATTTAATCATTTTATTTTGTGCTTATTAGCATGAGGCTGTTTTTGTTTCATTGATTAAATATGAGCATATCACTCATGAACTACATGCGGTAACCTGAAAATGCAAATATGAGCCACATGTCAAATGCTCAGTTTTGTATGTACTCACATACACTGACACATGTACATGCAGAACAATCGTCAGCTCTTGTACTCCACTGTACTACTATTGTTTGTTTGTTTTATTTTTTGTTTTTTTGTTTGTTTTTAAGCTTTATAAACTCAATAACATTCTTTAGGGCATTGTTTAGCTGAGTAATAAATTTATTTTATAATTGTTTAATGTTCAGTTTATATGATAAAGAAGATATGTATTATATATGTACAAGGTGGTGCAAAAGTAAGCTTACAGTTGTTCGTATGAAAAATAATACAATAATTAATAAATAATGATATAAGAATAAACTGTATTTTACATACTGACAACTGTAAACCTACTCTTGCCCAACGCTGTATGTATATAGGTTACAGGATCTTTAGCTCAGAAATCCTGTTGGTTGCCTGGGAATCAGGGGAACACATTGTTAAGAACATACAGAGAGGGAAAGATGGCGGCACTGTGAGAAGCAGCAGAGCGCCCCCGCTCCCAGCCACAGAATCGATTTACTCCTAAAATCCTATGTAGCCAGCTTGGAAAAAACAGAGAAACAAACCTGACTGGACGGAGTGCAAGTGGGGAGCATTGAAGAAACATCAGAGAGTCGGCATCCGTACAACAGCTTACATGACAAGGTTGGGGCTGAGACATGGTTGGCCAGCCTGAGAGGAGGGTCCTCCCAAGGACTGATCAACAACAATCTAGACCCAACCACAACAGGAGAACATAAAGAAACCACAAAAGTGACACCAACAAGAGGGACACGCCTAGAGGAAAGAGCTCAGAAGTATAAGGAAAACACCTCTGGGCTCCACTGGACCCACAAGACAAAATTCCATCCCACAAGACTGGGAGACAGCAAATATATCTAATATATAGATACAAACACTAAGACCTACCAAAAAGGGGAGACACAGAAACAACCCCCAAATTAAAGAAAAGGAAAAATCGCCAGAAAAAGACTTTGATGAGATTGAGTTAAGTAAGTTATCAGACACAGAGTTCAGAGTATTGATTATGAAGATGTTCACGGAACTTAAGAAGACGCTAGATGATAAGATCGAGGACCTTAGTGAAAACATGAAAAAACAGATACATACCATAAACAAAACTCAGAGATGAAGAATGCTGTATCTGATATCAAGAATGCACTGGAAGGAATTAAAAGCAGGCTCAAAGAAGCAGAGGATAGAATAAGTGACTTAGAAGACAAGGCAGAAAAAATCACTCAATCAGAGCAGCAAAAAGAAAAAAACACTTAAAAAGCATGAAGACAGTCTAAAGGAGCTTTGAGACAACATGAAGTGAAACAACACTTGCATTATAGGAGTGCCAGAGGGGGAGGAAAGAGAGGAAGGGATAGAGAACTTGTTGGAGGAAATAATGACAGAAAACTTCCTTAAGCTGGCAAAGGAGAAAGCCACACAAGTTTAGGAAGCACAGAGCGTTCCAAACAAGAGGGACCCAAAGAGACCCACTCCAAGACACATCATAATTAAAATGGCAAATGTCAAGGACAAAGAGAAAATATTAAGGGCTGCAAGAGAGAGACAAGCAGTGACCTACAAGGGAACCCCCATAAGGCTGACAGCGGATTTCTCAACAGAAAATCTTCAGGCCAGAAGGGAGTGGCCTGAAGTTCTGAAAGTAATGAAAAGCAAGAACATGCAACCAAGATTGCTTTATCCAGCAAGGCTATCATTTAAAGTTGAAGGTGAAATAAAGAGCTTCCCAGACAAAAAAGAAGCTAAAGGAGTTCAGTACCACCAAACCATCATTGCAAGAAATGCTAAAAGGACTGCNAAACCAGCATTGCAAGAAATGCTAAAAGGACTGCTTTAAGAAAAAGAAGGAATAGTGAGAGAAAGGTACATCAGCATAAAGGGGGGAAATGGCATTAAATAAGTTTATATCAATAGTAACTANAGAAATGCTAAAAGGACTGCTTTAAGAAAAAGAAGGAATAGTGAGAGAAAGGTACATCAGCATAAAGGGGAAAAATGGCATTAAATAAGTTGATATCAATAGTAACCTTAAATGTAAATGGAATAAATGGTACAATCAAAAGACATAGGGTAGCTGAATGGATAAGTAAACAGGACCCAAATATATGCTGTCTACAAGAGACCCACCTGAGAGCAAAAGACTCACACAGGCTAAAAGTGAAGGGATGGAGTAAAATATNAGGGTAGCTGAATGGATAAGAAAACAGGACCCAAATATATGCTGTCTACAAGAGACCCACCTGAGAGCAAAAGACTCACACAGGCTAAAAGTGAAGGGATGGAGTAAAATATTCCATGCAAATGGAAAGGAAAAGAAAGCTGGAGTAGCAATTCTTATTTCTGACTAAACAGACTTCAAAATAAAGACCATAACGAGAGACAAAGATGGTCACTACATATTACTAAAGGGATCAATCCAACAGGAGGAAATAACCCTTATAAACATTTATGCACCAAATATAGGAGAACCTAAATATATAAAAAATTTCTTGGAGGACTTTAAGGGGGAGATTGACAGCAACACAATCATAGTGGGGGACTTTAACACCCCACTGTCAGCATTGGACAGATCATCAAGACAAAAAAGCAACAAGGAAATATACACCTTAAACAA